GGAGGGAGGGAGGAAGCGAATTTTCATAACAAAACTACTCTCACATATACTCCGAATGATCTCACTTTCAAACCACAAAAAAGGCCAATAACTGGTGAAGTTTATGGTTTTGCACAATTTCGTACTTGACACCGGACCAGAATTGCGATATTTTCTCTAAATGGCATTGAGATGTGTAACATTCTTTGTATAATAAGTGCTCATTATCACAACATAACCAGAAGATGCGTTATTGCGTTACTTAAAGGATGATAGAGCAAATAAAGAGCACAAAAAAATAGCAGAGCATCTTACCAGCTGGGAAGTTAACTCCAACCGACTCAAAGATGCGAATAAGTTCGCCACCTTTATTAAGTACTTCCTCCACTTTGGGAAGCACCGCGGTGCAAGAAACGTTCACTTCCTCCAAAGCTTGAATACTGGGAGCCTGGCGAGGGTCAGAAATCCACCCGAGATCAGAACTGCTGGTACTGGAAGGGGACTGAGGTGTAGCAGCAGACTGAGGAGTGCTGGAGGAGGCATCTGTCGAAGGCGTCGAAGTTGCAGTAGCCGTTGCAGCGGAAGCAGCAGCAATGGCTATTATAGCTGGAACATCTCGACGAAGACCCTCCATAGAATTGTGGACGTCGGCTTCGAAGAGACGCAACTGCATGCAGAGCTCCAGGCGCATTTGACGATCTCCAAGGAGTTGCCATACGGTGTCTTGTTCGTTTGTGACCTACATTTAAGACAAGGAGATTATTAGTTGCCGATTGAAAAGGAAATATTTTCATTGAGTTGAAACAAATAATGGTTAGAAAAATAAACCTAAAGATAGATTCTTGTTAACTTAGAAAAACGAATTCTTTAGGCCAAAATTGTGGATATCCAGATTTTACCACATTAAAAAATACATATAATTGTCCAGTGCCAACTTGAAAAATTTCAATTTTGTTCATCATTTGTAAGATTACCTGATGATGACACAGATTTTAGATACAATGACGAGGCTTGTAGAGATTTAAACGCATTTAAATTTTTCCAAAATGGCACAGTACATTTTGCTTGTTAAAAGAATGTCCATTTCACTAAGATGTAATGGAAAAAATTGCGTCGGCAAATTGATGGGAAGGAAGGTAAAGGTAAAGACCAACTCCAAAATTCAAAGTCATGGAAGCCTGTCATCTCACAATCTACCATTACTGATTTCGTCCAATAAATATTCTCTTGTATTCCTCTTTGACTTTCTGGGGTGTGCGATAGACTTACCTCCACGTGGTGCGTCCTGGGCAACGTATACTCATACGGCAAAAAGGTCTATTAACCGGTAGTCGACTTCTGACTTCAAACTACCATCACCCAACTCTATGTCATAATCGACTACTTCCACAGTTCTCACCTCACCTTTTTTCTACCTTTATGTCTGTCTCTTTTACATCTTTGAATCACTCTTCTGTCTCCCCCCCCCCCCCCCAAGACTTTTTATCGCTTTGATCTTCCTCCCCTCTGTGAAGCCCCGAAGTCAACTAAAGGGCTAATGCTAACCATCAAAACGCCTGCCATTTAATATAAATAAATATTCGTCTTTGCTGATAGGAAAAAGATAATTCAAGGTCACCGTCCATGATTCGATGTTAGGTGCAGTGGTATAACAACTCGGTTTAGAAATTACTCGAAAAAGTGTTTTGGTCAGACAAAACAATTTTTGGACGAGCGGGAATATCTCAATGGAATGAGACTTGAAGGGAGGGTGGGGGTGATTCATAGAATTTCAGCTTATAAACAAAGCTCGACTGCATCGTGCGCACCTCACACTACTCACTCCTGTGGGTTCAGCACCCGCACAAGGAGACACAACATCTGAGTGTTGGGGATGGAGGGAATGACAATAGCCACAAAAATACGTTTCAATAGGTGGAAAACTACAGTATATTAGAGAAATTGAGGAAATAGAAAAGGAACTACTGATACAGTTGTCATGAGGTTGAAACTAATAAGCTCGTTAACTCAATTCTCCTGTTCAACCTTTTGGCACAAGGCCAAATTGAAAGAAAACACCCACATAATTACTACTTCTACGGTGTGAGAGCCATGATAAGACGAGATCAGGGTAGATAAGAGTTATCAACGGAGGGGTGTTTTCGATATGAGGCTAAGTGTTTCGACAAATGGAACTATTTAAAGTGGCTATGTTTATAGCATTCAGAATAGAGGTAAACACACTTCCTACAGTTAGTCAGATACTACAGATAAACAAATTGGCACATTTGATAAACAAACACAAATGGAGGATAAAAAGCGAAGTTGAAATGTTATGTAAAGAAAAGTCAATAGGTGGGCGAAATATTTCGCCAGCCACAATATGTAAGACAAATTGATGCAAGCTGATAGAAGAATAAGCAATGGAAATGGAAGGCTCAATTTCTATAAAGCCATATAGCATAAAAAAGACCTCTGGAGTAAACATACCAAACAGCGTGGCTAAAAAGCCTGTCAAGTTAGCAAAAAAGGAGAAGAAGCAGTTCTTCAAAAATGGTAAGCCTAAATACCTGTGAGAGAAAGTTGTTATAAACTGATTTGAAAATAATAATAATAATCAGACTCTAGCTTTAAACGGACTATGAAGCACACCTGAGTGAGAATAGATCTCAAATGAGAAGCCTCATCCGAGTCCTGCAGTCGGGATATAAGCGCCTTCCCCTCAGATATGACCCTTTTAACAGCAGATTCCAGATTATCACGATGCTGCCTAAAGGTAGTCAATTCATCGTCCATTCCCTCGATTGTGGGCGGGAAGTGTTCACCCGGATTGTATGCCTCATTGGCATTGTGCAACCAACTCAATACCTCCTTGGTATGACCATAGAAACCACAGGCCAGATCCAACATTTCACGACGTGAGTCCACAGCGTTGGTGAAACTTGTTATGCGCTGTTGCAATTTCGCGGCTTCCTGAAGGGAGAAAAAAATGGGACAATTAGTTATGGCAAAAGCAGTGTGAGAGGGTCTACAACATTAAACCGCAACCTGAAACGAAAAAAATAAAACCCCAATGAAATAGAGGCAAACTGCTCTTCGTAGAGATTCTCGTAGATGCCAAATGCTTGGGTGACACTCTGTGTGGAAAACAAGAAGAAGACAAAGGGTCCAGAAGAATGAAGCTAGAGTCAATCGAATCGAGGGTTGGTGGAAATATTGATATCTGTTGTTAGTACATGTGCACAATTGCGAAAACTTCAAACACCAATTATTGGTCCCATATTTGATATATTTACTAGATACTCGCGAATTAGGAGCATTCTAGGTTAACAGTTCACATATTTATAGACTACAGCCCACAACAACCATGTTTGCCTTTAAACCGAGGGAACCTGGGAGAAGTACTGAACCACATGCCCCAAAAGAGTAGTGCTTTTGGCATAAACGTGAGAGACGAATTCGTGGTTACAAATCACCGAAATTCTTTTTAAAACGCCCTTGGATTTAACTTTATTAACTTCAAAGAGGAGAAATTTAAAAATAATTCCATTTATAAGCATTACAGCAGTAGAATTTCATATGAAACGAAGTAAAATAGGAAACAAGATAGCATCGTATTTATAGCTAAAAAAGGGGTGCGCGAAAGACTTACCTCCACCTGGTGCACCCTGGGCAACGTCTACTCATACGGCAAAAAGTCTATTATTCGGCAGTTGACTTCTAACTTAAAACTATCATGACCCCATTTTATGTCACATTCGATCACTTCCAAAGTACCCACCTTACCTTTTCTCTGCCTTTGTGTCCATCTGCCTCTTTACACCTGTGAATCACTCTTCTTTCCAAGATCTCACATTTTTCTCACTATGTTGTTCCTCCTCTCAGTGAGGCCAGAAGTCAGGTAAAGGGCTAATGATAACTATCATAACACCTGCCATTTGGCATAAATAAATAGTCAAGTAAAAAGTGTCAAGACGGCAAAAAAAGCCTAAAAGGAAGCGAGTGTGATTTGAAAATCAGACGTAACCACATTTGTAAAGACAAATTACCCCCCCCCCCCCCCCCCTTTCNTTCCCCCCCCCCCCCACCCATTTCCAAACATCTTCTTGTGGCAGTCATAAAACCAGAGCTTCTACAAATACTCAGCTAATTTATTGCCAGTGTGAAATGGAGCTGAATAGTTAGGCGAAAACTCGGATGTGCATACACACTCAATTATCACTAACTCAATAACTGAAACGCCATTATGCTGTTGTGCAATCTTCAACCCCTCCCCCCCCCCCCCAANCCCCAAAGCTTGACCCTGATTGACTAATTAATCAGTGTAATCTGATTGAAGTAATGGGGCAAGGTCCACACACGCAGTAAATATAATTTCTGGTAAATGGAAGACTTGTTGGCTCAACCAATGGAATAAATAAAAGACAAGAACTGGGCTTCGTCTACCAACGAAATGCGCAAAAGAACGTGTTTGACATTTACTAGATTGGGCAGTTGTTCGAACTAGTATTAATAAAACGCGTACACCAGGTGCTATCATAATCATCATCACCATCAGTATTATAGCACAATGACCTCTCCACATGCGCAGCCACAAAAAAATCTTCTTTCTTATGTACTTTGGCCACTAGGAGACTGTGCGTTGGCACATGGCAAGCTGCCAACCCGCCTCTCTGGTTAGGTTCAATGAATAGGGAAGTTCCACATAAAGAACAACAATAGAACGCGATTGTGGAGGACTATTCAGACAAGCACAAGTTGCCTATTCTCTTTGATGGCAAGATTTGATGAATCAGCAATAAGAATAAACAACCATATTACTTAATGCTGGTCGTCAGAATGGCAATTGAATGGGTCCGCTTTAATGAAAATGATAATTAAGTATGGTTATTCTATATATGACAATACTGAGAGTGGAATGATCAACACTTGAACTAGATCAGCGAAGGATCATAATCTAAAGCAAGAGGGAAACATGCAAACTTCCTAGACATAATTCATAACAATCTCCCAGCTGCTATTTACTTTAGCGTTACATGAAGATTCATAACCTTAATTGCGAATAAAAAGGCGTTATAAGCCAAGAGTCCTCAAATCTCAAGCAGATGCATCATGGTAGGCTACTATTTCAAAAACCAATCATCTCAAATACAGACACATCTGGTACGGGGGATTTGATTCAACATGTTTGTCTACAGTCTTTAAATTGTCTAAGGCAACTGAGCAAACACTCCTCATCTGATGGCAGTACCTTGACTGACTGTACAAATTTATTATAATACACACAAAACACATAAAACACGTAACTAGAGATACAACTGACCTGTCTAACTTCACGTGGATTTTCTGCTTGAGAAGCAAGCTCTTCCACCGCTGAAATCAATTTGTCCGCATTCGTCAAAGTGTTGGCAGCAACCTACAAAAGGAAAGTAATCAAAAATCGATAAGCAATTTGAATGACACAGTACCACCACTTCAGTAAGAGACCTAGAGACGTAAATATTATTTTTTTCTACTCTGGCTGTGTGCGCACAGAAACATGGCTGTGTGCAGTGGTGCTCGAGGCGAGTAAAAAAAGGAGAAAACACACACACACACCTGTTCGAATTGCATGTGAGCATTGTAGAGTTGCTCGGCTCGTTGGCTGGACTTTCCGATGGCGGTTTGACGAGCTAAGAAAGGCTCGCCGTGGTCGGTGAGCCAGGCCAACACCTGGCCAACGTCCTCTTTGAACATGAGGAGAGCAAGGCGAGACGTGAGACGAGATTTTCGATCTGTGAACGTTCTCTCCAGACGTTTGTACCAGGCCCATAACTGAAGGAGGATAAAAAGAAAGGCTATCAATACGAAGGCGCTGAGTTCTCATAACCTCCTCAGCTAATTAAAACTGTAATAGTTGAAGCTTTCAGAAGCATTAGTGCAGGAAAGGCAACTTGTAGTTATATGAACCCGTCTTCACAGATATTATAACACGCTAGTGAGTGACTTAGAAATGATGGAATTTCAGCTCAGTACTAAAAAACGATGGCCATAAATTTTGAAATCCCGTTAAGCCTCTCCTCCTCTCCCTTCGTATCCTCAAAAATGGGCTTACGACAATTTACACGCCTTTGAAGTTGTTGAGATGGAAGCCGTGAGACTCAAATTTAGTGAGCCCGGTGTAAGAGCTTTCTCCCGCATTAATTGAAAAGCTCAACTAGGCAATTACAAATGAGCGCAAATATCTTCTCATAGGAACCGTGATTCCCATCGAAATGCCTCCAAAAAAGATCCAAGTACTCGTGCATCCCAAACCGTGGACATCTGAAAGAAATGGTGGTTCTGAGAGCAACTGAAGCTCCCTATTTTTTAAAAGCAGAAAATAATTAAATTTTCCCTCCTTCCTCTAAGCTTAAATCTGATTTTCGACTGTCAATGTCAACGAGGCTTCACAAATGGGGGGGGGGGGGAACAAAACACACACAGGCAACGCAAATGTACTAATACAATTATAAAACACAATAACGAGAACCAAATGTGATATTAAACTATAAGAAAAATAAGTTAAAATCCTGTTTCGAAAATTTATTTACCCAAAACTAGGCATTTCTGAAATAAAATAAATCGGCTGTAAGGAAATGAGGGAAAATAATAGCACTTAAAGATGGAAACATACCTCGTGTACCAAATCGGCACAGTGTTTCCGCCCCTGTGAATAATCGATAGCCGCCGTAAGGTTGGTATGTGACCCACCGGTAACTGGAGCACTCAGCAAATCAACCATCGCGCGTCCATCTCGACACGCTTCTTCATACGATCTCTGTATATCCTGCCAGCGTTCTTGGATCAGCCTCAACGCCTGATTGAGATCGTTCACGTTAGTACCCGAGACATGACGAACACTCGTCTCCCAGGTTGTACAATTGTTGAGGAAGGCTTCAGCACGAGTATGGAAACTGGTTGAGAGTTGGAGAACCCGAGAACGCTCGTCAAGCGCAGTAGTGAAGGATTTTCGCTCATGTTCCAACTCATTGGCCTGGAAGTGAAAAGGCACGAGATGGTTAGTGTCAACACATTCTGCGTAAGCAAATGTGAATGTTTTGGTCAACTACTGCTTGGGTATGGCAAAATTCATTCTTGTAGGATAAGCCGTAAAATTTGATCACAAAATCCACATGAAAGTATCATATCAAACTTAATGAAAAAAACATAAATCGCAATTCGATTATGCTATCTACCAGAAAGGGATCAATGGAACTTGAATTCTAGACTTATAGATGGAAAATAAAACCGACAGTGTCAGCTCTCTTCCCTGTAAAGAACCCCACCACACCCCCAACACCCGAATAATCATTTCTAAATTGTCAACACAAAAGGTTATTCTTCATTCGGTCAATGTTGACCTCTGAATGAAACCTTGGTAACCAAACATGACCTTCCCACCTTAGCCCCCACCAAATCGTTCTAAATTTTGTGATCGTGACAAGAGCAGAAGACGTGAAGATCATTAGTCGATGCATTGTTTGGTTTGTATGATTTAATTATTCAGTACTAACCACCACTTAACAACTCATGGTTCGCAATTATGTTTTAGATTAAGATCACTACTTCCAATATTTTATAACCAATCTCACTTGTTTAAGCATTTGCTGCCCAGCAAAATGTCCAGTATCAGCCAACATCCGCGCAATTCCTGTTAAGCGCGAAACCTGTTCTCTGACTCCACTGCACTTCTGCAAGAATTGTTTATGTTGACTGTGCAGTTGAACCGCCTAAAAACAAAGGAAAAAAAAAAAGCATTAAGCACACATGACAGTAAGAAAACCAGAACGAGTGTTTGTATGTGTGTGTGTGCGTGTGTGTGTGAGAAAGTTTACCTGACTAGCAGTTTCACCAATATCCGCATGTTCGGTGAGAAGGAGTACACTTTGCTGTTCCAGCCACGATGTCATTCTGCTGGCATCATCTTCAAATAAGCGGAATTGGTAAATTTGTTCCAACCGAGTTCGTCCAGTTTCCCACTTCTGCTGGAGATGGGCACGAAATTCGTATAACTGGGTGACAGTCTGTCGAACTTGAGGAATTAACTACAAAGCAAAAGTAGAGAGGGAGAGATATGAATGGCTTTGTAGAATACAAGACCAAATCGAGCAATGGGAGATTTAGGGAAATAGCAGTACGGAGTTAAATGGAACTATTCAGGGTACAAATTTCTAATGGAACAAATATTCTTAGAGAATAAAGTGACTAGGATTTTCTAAGGATTACTAGAGCATACTTACGAAGATCTAGAAAACACCAGGATTGAAAATAGCAAAAAGAAGAAATTTACAATCAACTGAAAATAAACAAAAGAGGACTTCATCCAAAAGCATGAAAATTGATTAGGCACTAGGAAAACCTGAAAAATTAAACTGTCTTCTAAATCTCAGAGAAAATAAATCAAATTGAAATGACTAGACCGACTCTCTCCACTGCACTTTGTGTAGACAAGTAAACAACCAGGGAGACGATTCGTGACATCGGTTTCTATAGTTTATTGAATCCCCCCATCTGATAACATTTATTGGACTTTTCTGTTAATCGATTTCAGCTACTTCACGCGAATTAAAGTTTGAGGATTTTATTACTACTAGCAATGATAATAAATAATAATAACTAAACTGCCAAGGGATATATTCAAAAACGAGAGGACATTAAGATAATCATGGAATAGTTAAAATTGCACACAGCATAGTCGCTTGAAAGTGGGAGCACCGCATACGAAATAAGAGAATGACAAATTCACACAATATTATTCTAGGAAGACTATTAAAGGCGCTAATGTATTTAAATCGATTCCACCGCCCAATGACGCAAAAAGCCTTAAAATGACTTTATCTACCGCCCATAAAAGCGAACAAAGACCCCAAAACACGGTTAAGTACTTTCACCACTGGGGAGAAAGGGGTAAGTGATCAAGCTGCCGAAAATTGTGAAAGGTAGCTACTGGGAATTAGTAGCACCTACACTTGGCTAGAAAAGCAATGCAAGAGAATATTGTGGTCATGAGACATTCTCCACTTGAGTATAGATATGGAGCTAAATTGAAAATCAAGAAAAAAGGAAGAGAGGTATAAATAGACACGAAACACTTGGAAAAAAGGGAATGGGGACACGCGATCATGAGTTTACTATTCATAAGTACATGTCAAGTGAGTGGAACAGGCAAGTGAAATGATCAACACAATTTGGTTAACAGACGGTGCTGGAACCCTAGCTACTCCAGAGCCTCAATGACGTTGCAAATCTGGTGACTAGAAGGGATTTTCGCAAGAGGGTTTGAAAATTATCTTTAAAGATGGAGATGCAATGGAAATCGAAATACGATCGCCAAATTGTAGAGATTAACTACTAAGTGGCCAAGATGAAAAACTAAAAAAAACAACAGAGCAATAAGAAATTAGAAATTTTAATTAAAATAAACACAGTCTGGTTGTCAAATCTAGCATGTTAATCAGTTAAAAAAGACTTGAAGCAAGACTTGGATTTTATTCACTGAAAAAAAAGCACAAGAATGAATTTCTTGAGTCAAGACCTGCCAATTAAAATCTAGAAAAGGAAGAAAAAAATTAATGCAGGAAATGAAGTGTTAAACCACTGAAAGGGTTTGATTTCACTGCTCAAAATGACAGCTTCATGCATGGAAAAATGGGATCTCATGGCCGCCAATAGAAGATTGCAAGGTAGGAGTCTCGAAGGCAGTGAAATTGACATAAATCGAGCGGATGCAATCGAATGCCCGGAAAATTGCCAACATATCAATAATGGAAACGCAAAAAAAACAACTCCCACATAGGAAAGATAATATCTTTAATTCTTTTCAAGAAAGTAAAGACATTTCAACGACAGTGAAAACCTAAATAGCGCTTCCATAAGTCGCGAATATTAAACACAACGATTCATGACTTTAGTTTGTAATTGAGGGGTGTGCGATTGACTTACCTCCACGTGGTGCACCCTGGGCAACGTATACTCATACGGCAAAAAGGTCTATTGACCGGCAGTTGACTTCTGACTTCAAAACACCATCACCCCACTGTATGTCATATTCCACCACTTCCACAGTACTCACCTCACCTTCTCTCTGCCTTTGTTTCAAAGATGTAAAAGAGACAGACAGACACACTCTGCTGCTCCCTCTCCCGAAGTTTTCCCACTTTGATGTTCCTCCCCTCTGTGATGCCTGAAGTCAACTAAAGGACTAATGATAACCAACAAAATGCCTGCCATTTGATATAAATGAAGTATGAAATTGCTGTCATCGGAGTAATAGGAGGATAATAATATTATTACAGTGTAAGGGAAATAAAAGTGGACATGGATCCCAGTTTGTTGACTATTTAATTTACCGCCCTTCGTTTGTTGAGATATGCAAAGCCAACATCTAAGTTGATAAGGCATCTAAACCGCAAAGACCTAAATTATCAATAAGAAGAGTTGAACAAAATCTGTCAATTCAGAGTAGAATACAACGCTTGGGAGTTAGGCCCCGAGAGTCAAGTGATTAAGCAGGCAGAAAAGTGTGCCAAAGGGGATGTGTATACGGGATGTAGATAAGTTGAGACCTAAGTAAATTATAATAGGGTAAGAACAAAAATATGGCAAAGGATATTACTTGCATTAACCATGACGTTCCACAATTCCACAAATTTGGGTGGGAAAAGTAGTCATAATACGCGCAAATTGCAATGTTAAAGCACTTCCTAATTCGCTAAAATTCCACTATGTATCGGCTAAATGATTTAATAAATTACCCCTCTCTCTCTCTCCCTCCTCCACCCCCCCCCCACACACACCCGCTCCTTTCCTCCTATGCTTTCGCATAAAATACTGATGGGTAATTAATTGACCAGTCTGGACGTGGTGTTATTATGCGCGTAGAGAAATATTTACTGATTACATTGATGATAAAACACACGAACACATAGGGCGAGAAAACGATGGCTGTAAACGATGATTTCACAATTGTGAACGGCGTAACGAGGACAGCGCACTGAATCAGCACAAATTTAAAAAAAAAAAGGAAAAATTGAACCCAAATCAGCACGAACATCCACGTAAAACGCCGCCCCCCATTTAATTTAAACGTTTCGATAGAAAAAAGTGCGAAATTATCACAGAGCGATGCAGATTTGAGGACAGGAAAAAGAGTAGTGAGTGAGGATGCAAGTGGAAGATAGCTTCCAAATTCGGATTCGATTGATAAAAGGGATAATAAGCACGTTGACTGTTAACCACTGATATCCAAACACTAGGCTTTAAAGAAAACGAACTTTCATCTCTGTGTCATCAAAAAATAGCCAACAAATATCTGTTTGAAGTCTGGATCCATAGAGACTCATTAAGAACAAATATAAGTCTCAGTAACGCCGTGTTTTAGATGTAAAATCGTACCTCATTTTAATGCTAACATAGACCAATCTGTGACTATTCAAAGGGATCAATGAAAGGCAAATGAAAGTGAGGCTACTACTCACTTGTTGAAAGTCTGGATTCATGGAGACCCATGAAGAGGGGACATAAGCTGCGCTAGAACCACCTGGGCCTCCAGCAACAACACCGCTAGGAAGACCTGCTGCAGAACTTGTAATAGCGGAGCCTCCAGCACCGCCCGAAGCTGAAGCAGCAGTGGCAGCAGCAGAAATACCGTAACGCAGCCAGGCTGTCAGTCGGTCGGATTCGGCTTCTAGAGCTGGCACTGGCGCTTGCATTATCTGGTAAGATAAAGAAAATAAAGCGTTCGTTTAAAAAAAATAACAAACAAATAATTCCCTGCACTTTGTGGTGACAACACAAAATTGTTAGTGTGCATCTCTAACAATTAAGCGGTTTAGGATAGTGTTAGTGGGTGCAGATTCAATAATATGGAAAGAAATAGTTAAATAATGATTGATAGAAGAGGCAAATCTCAGTCCAGAATAACTCTATTTCGAGTGCAGTTAGCACATTCCATGATAGACTTGGAAAGTAAGCAATAACCAATGGTAAAATTCAAGATTACAATAAGATAAAGCTCGAAGGATAATTAATGGATTAAAAAAAAACAAATAGAAAACAGGCGGATTCAAAAATATTCGATAGACGAAAATTATGCTCTGCATTCCAAGCCCCTTCAAAACAACGAAATACGACACATAATATCGTTAAGAGGTATCTTGATTTATTAAAAAAAATGGGAATTTGACTTGTTTTACTTAGGGATATAAGACAAAGTGAATAACAACAGACGAAGTAAGAAGACCTCAGATTAAACCTAAAAAAACGGTGTCTTCAAGCTGATTAACTCCCTGTGGACGGTCAGTTAACACAACGTTGAACGCAAATAAACGTCAATGTCGTGTTGCATGAAGACGCATGGAAAACCAACAACATCATAAATGTGACGATCTAATAATTACCAGTTTTAACTATGCTAGGCTATTCGTCTGCTGAGGATTACAAACACATTATTTGATTAAAGGGACCTAATCTTATTACTGGCATAATGTAACGCCGCTTAAGGCTTAATTCAAGGATATTTTACCACGAAAACGCCAATATTTGTTGACCAGATGAGTTGAGAAAGTGGAGTACGTAAACCAATGACCAATTTGAGCACAAAAAACAGATTTTATAGAATCGTTATTGGTAATTATAGTCACAAAATAAGGACCAAAAAACCTTAACCACATTTTTTATAAACAAAGCATTTCCATCTGAGTTATTCGCGCCACAAAAATAAAAATGTTCGAATATGATTGCAGCGAAAGATCTGAATTTGCATTTGACAGTTGTGTAAAGCGCTTTCAGAGCGTTTGAGAAGCGAAGAGGTAATGAAAGATTAGAAGGAATAGTAATTGCATGTTGAAATGATCAACGAGATATTACCAATGAAAGAATCACATCAGTGCTAGAAAACACTTCAAACAGTAAATTAAACTGACCAAATCTACCCATTGCATTGTACGAATATAGGTGTCCCAAAACTATTTCCAAAAAGCTTAGAAAGTTAACAATAAACCAACCGATTGAAATAGGGAGGACGATAAATAGCCTACCTTTCCGCGGACAGAACGGTGATCCTCTAGTGCACGTTTTGATTCCTCAACTGATTCGGGATTTTGTTTCTGATCAAGGAAGCAGTACAACTGGCTAAATTTGTCTGACATATCATGAGCGAACGTGAAGAATTCCTCCAAACAACACCTTATTTGTATCCACTCCTCATGATTGTAGGGAAGGGTACCCTAAATGCGAAGAAATGAATTTACAGAAAGGCCATAAAGAAAAATTAAACTCACTCTGTGTAGATCGTTGTATAGGGATTTAGATAAAATAAGTTTACAAAATTATAGAGAGAATAAAATCCTACCTCCAAATCTGCAGTTAGTTGGCTAGGATCAACTTCGAGAAACAGTTGATCAATTGATACCAACTGAATATTGAAGCTAAATTTGCTGATTGACATTTGAACTTTTTGCTTCTCCAAATACTTGTCCGGTTTTATAATATAAGTCATCGCTACATTCCCTCCTATACATTCTTCAATAACCTGAGATAAGAAAAAGAGAATTAATTGTTGCTCAGATGATCACCCGGGAAGCAATTTGGCATTCAAAATAAGTACCTTAAGAACAGGTTTAACGCTATGCCAAGTAGTTCCACTTCGCATGTCAATAATGACGGCAAATCCAAGTTTCTTAACATTTTCCTCGGGTAAGTAAGTGAGATATCGGACAAGAAAGTATAGTTCCTCAAGAGGTAGACAATCAGCATGAGAATTTGCGGGGAAACAAAGAATAGGTCCACCATTCCTTGCGCGTCCGCCGGGTAGCATGGCATATTTACCACGAAGAAGGGAAATTAATTCAGCGGCTCTTAAGCGGCCAGCAGCGGGTTTATGACCCGCCTTGCAATTGCTATTTAGGGAAGCATAGCCGGTAGACCCGCTAGTGACACTGGCAGCACAAGTACTCTGATTAGACTGGCAAGATTGAGGACTGTGACGAAAGAGCTCGGGATGGACTGGCTGTCTTGTGGGATGATGTTGGGAAGCACTTTGAGGACGTCCCTGTTGGTATACTCTGAGAAGTTGAGGATGAATTCCGTGAGCATTATGAACAGCTGCAGTCGCCGAAACTCGGGGGGCACTACTAGTTTTGACGTGGAGAGGAAGTTGAGACATGCCCTGTGGAGAACGGTATTGATTTCCCGGTGTGTGAAGGTCATGGGTATGACAATTGTGACCTGAGCTGGATAATCGGTTTTCGTTTATGTGAGAAGGTCGGTAAAAATCCAACACTTCCGGATCTATATGTTTATTTGAATGATCCATGATGCTAGAGCATCACAAATTTTCTATATGTATAACGTTTGGTGGAAAGAAATAAAAGCCCACAAAATAAAACCAAAACCCTAATGCGCGGGCATTAAGACAAATGAGGCTTCCATCTTTAATAAGATAAAACGCAAATATCGAATGTAAACTATTCATTTATACATTGGGGTAATCTTTTAAGAAATCAACCGAAATTTTTAAATTTAAATACAAATTAGCGATATGAACAAATATTGTAAATTTGAAAAGCAATGCAAAAAATCTGATATAATAATCGACAAAATAAATTAAATGATGAAAACTTTCCTATTATATATTTTTATATCTAAGTGAGAAGAATTATGTGTCTATAATAGTCTAGCTAGTGCTCGTCATTTGTTTTGAATATCCGCGATCGCGTTTACCTTCAAGGTTGTAGGAGTTCGAGTTCAAGCGCGCATTTTATCGCTCCGGTTTGGCTAAACGGTACGCAGCTATTTCGGCCTTGTTTTCGTTTGCATTATTACAATTTACTATGCATTTCCATATGATCTATTTTTATTGAAAGGCTGACTATCTCTGGGATGAATTTGTACGTTTTGTTATTCATCTGCGGTGTTTTCTCCGCTATTGTTTTGTGCGAGGAACCCCTTGGTGTTGTTGTTTGGCATGGAATGGGTGGGTTGCCTTATTTTCATCTAATAATTAATATTTAACTTATTTCTTTCTTATTAAATAGGCGATTCTGGTACAGGGAGAGGAATCAAACATCTCTGTGAAATGATTGCAAATGAAATTCCTGGGACATACGTTCTTAATTTAATTATTGGCTCTGCAACCATGGTAATTGCTGAAATATCTTCCATAGCTTTATAAGATTAGTAGCCTGTGGGTTGAGGATAAATTGTTTAATTTATTTCCTCTTTTCTGGCAAATTAAGCTTTTCTCTTGATGTCTCAAAATCACTAGAGTTAAACGGCTGGTTTGATTTCCGAACCACCACCATACACGCGTTATTTCATTTTTTTGGATGGTCATGTTAAGAGTGTGTTTCTATTCTAATTCATATTGGTGCCTCTATTTTCGTTACTTTGCGTTGATAAACTAGAGATTCAATGGATAAATGGTGGAAAACAAAATTGATTTAGTGATGATAGGGGTGATTAACAACCTTAACTTTCCCAATTCAACTATTATTACGATATATTTATGTTTGCGCACAAGCAGACTAATGGGTAAAATATCAGTTGGCATTTGAAAACTCATTCAATTCGTCGTAGTAGTATCAATAATTTTAACTGAGTATTATTTGTGTACCGTGTCGCAACGATGTTAGTAATCAGTTACCTATTTGTCATTCAATGGCGCTCTCTGTTACAATGCTAATTATTTAGAGATTCAATGTGGTACTAACGACTTAACAGAGAGTAACATCAGCCTGTGAACATATTTTTTCCTTCGATTATGAGTTAATGGGGGAATGTATTGTACGTAATTTTGGTCTTTTTTATTTATCGAGTGCAGCGAGACCGTATTACGGGAACCCAAATATTCGATTTAGTGTCTAAAACATTCATATTCTGAATTCGTTTCGCTTTTTTCGCATTGTAGGACCGTATAAACTCCTTCTTCATGCCAATTAACGAACAACTGGATATTGTCTGCAAGAAGGTTCACTCAGATCCTCGCTTGGCCAATGGCTTTCATCTGATTGGTTTCTCCCAGGGTGGTCTATTTGTTCGTGCGCTGGCTCAACGCTGTCCACCAAAGAAACTCGGCTCGGTCATATCGATTGGTGGCCCCCAGCAGGGCATCTTTGGCCTGCCCTTCTGTCCCAATGCCACCTCCATCCCACTGTGTCAATATTTACGTGATCTTCTTTCAAAAACCGCGTATAATGACCTTGTCCAGTCGAGGTACTACTTTCTACTACCTCCACCATTTATCTAGCTCAGTAGGTGTCGGTATGTGTCAGATACTAGTCGCCTAGCATATTCAAGCAATCGATGGGGTTTGAACCGATCTTCATTTTCATTAGAATAGATAGGGTCTAGTTGCTACTCCATTTCCATTATCTGGTTTGTGCTAAAGTTAAGGCAATATGTACCCAACCATACGTCGTGTTTGCAAGATTCAACCTTTGTATTCTGCAGGTGAATTATGGTTTCGAGTACTGACTATGTGCGTGGGTGAGGCGAACGAATCTAAGTTCATTATAGAACTCTTTCTTGATTCCGATAATTCTTTTAGTTTTTAAATTCTTTTTGTGAGGTAGACATGAAGGTGATTGCCTGCCAATATTTATGGAGAATAAAATGTGATGAATTCGGATCTGAAAACTAAATTGCAATATACAGCATCACCCAAATAAACGTATTTCACGGTATACGTCTGTTTCAAATTAGACGAATCTGTCACTGAGATCATTGTCAAGACTCGTTAATGTAGCAGTCCGCTATAATTAATGAAGTTCTGTATTGGATCCTAATTTTATGAAGGGAGGGCTGTACTGAAAAAAATTGTCTTTCTTAATTACGCATTTTATTTGGAACTACGCAGATGCGTAATTATAAAGGGTGATTTTAGTACAGACCTCACTGATTTAAACAAATAACCAATACAGGGGCTTTGTTTAAAAGTCTAGGCTCTGAAGCCAGGCCAAAATGAAAATGAGATGTCAAGCGCAACTGAAAAGAAGTCCTTGTGGTCATCCGAAGTCTTGTAGGTTATTGGTTTGTTTTGAGTTGTCCTCGACAGATGCTTCAGACTTGACAATATGAACCCCTTACAGTTCACGATTGAAGATTTTGTCTCCGGAAGGGGGACATTTTCCGATTTCGAATTCTAATCATTTCAATTTTATTCCTTTTGACCATAGTTTGATGTGCTTATATCGATTTTTTTACCATCGATTCAGTGACTGGAATAACGGAAGGCCCTTTTGCCTAATCTTTTAAAATCATTTATTTATTTATTGCAAATGGCAGGCGTTATGATAGGTATCATTAGCCCTTTAGTTGACTTCGGGCTTCACAGAAAGGAAGATGAATATCAAAGTGGCAAAAAGTCGAGAGGGGGACAGAACAATGTTTCACAGATGTAAAAGAGATAGGCAGACAGACACAAAGGTAGAGAAAAGGTAAGGTAAGATGAGTACTGTGAAATTATTCGAATATGAAATGCAGTGGGGTCATGGTAGTTTGAAGTCAGAAGTCAAGTGCCGCTTAATAGACTTTTTTGCCGTATGAGTATACGTTGCCCAGGGTGCACCACGTGGAGGTAAGTCTATCGCACACCCCTCTTTTAAAATCATATATTTCACAAATCAGTTGTAAGTAGGTCGATAATAAAAACAAGGGAATATTTAATGTTTGATTTTTTACATTTTAACTTGATTAACTTTTGAATCTCTGTTTAAAGTGTCCTTTGTAGAAAGCAAAAATCTCTTCGTCTCTGGCATTACACAAAGTCTGTTTTTGGTCGTGGTAACCATTAGATCTATGTAAGGCGTAGAGTCCAAGCTTCTTAATTTTTCTTTGTTTGGTCCTCTCGTGTCCTAACACGATTGACTTGACAACTACTTTGTTTTGCGCGTTGACTCATTGAGTCCATCGCCGGTGGCGGCGTTTGAAACTCGGATGGGGGGGTGGGGGGGCGGGCGGTTTCCGAATATTTTATGGATTTATAGGTAAAAAGGCAGAACTGATTAACCGCAGATCACATTGAGACGCTAAGATACTTTTACCATAATGGGGCTTAAATACAATTGGATTTAATTGGCAAGTTGCTTTAAATGGGATAAGTTTGAAACTTTCAAGTAAGCATCTTCCTGCGTATGCTATTTTTATGGGTATAAAGTCCTAATGGGAATTGTGCCAAAGGGAAGTCAGTGCATTTCAAGGAGCTTTTTAGATTTTTCAGTTAAAGAAATATTTTTTTGCCTTATTTATTACTTTATTTTGTTGTTTCCAACCTCAGTTTCGTTCAAGCCCAATATTGGCATGATCCAATGAACGAGAAATTGTACCGTGCGAAGAGTCGATTCCTCGCTGAAATCAACCAAGAGAACATCGTCAATAGCACTTATCGGGAAAATCTTCTCAAAGCTAAAAACTTGGTACTTGTTCGTTTTATGAGTGATGTGACTGTCATTCCCGGCATATCTGAGGTACGCCTTGTGTACATGTTACTGTCTCTTTATAAGTAGTTGATTACTTTTGGGTTATAATTTTAGTGGTTCGGATTCTACCGCAATGGCAGTTCCGAATCTACCTACGATTATAAGGAAAGCAAACAGTACGCGACGGATAGTCTTGGATTAAAGACACTTAATGGACAAGGACGTCTTCACCTGCTATCGCTTCCAGGTCGCCATCTCCAGTTTTCGGATTATTGGTTCCGCACAGTTATAATACGCCAATTCTTAAATATCACCGTCCATTAATTAGACGCCGATTTTAAAGTGCTTGCCAGCTTTTGCCATTTATAAATGAACGTTTTGTTACTATTTATACTAGTAATTACGGCATTTTACATTCTGAATAAATAACGCTTCATTCAAATTCATATTTCAATCTTGTATGTTTGGAGGGACGTTTTAACACAAGAATTCATGAGCTTGTTACATTGATGTAGTTGAGTATCGAAGCAACCAATGAAATCATTTGTTCATATCACTTTCCTTGGGCAGATTAAGGTTTGGCAGAATGATTTGTGCTTATGATTTCATCAACCAATCAAAATGGCTTTGATATTTAATCAGTCAATAATACTCAAGCTTTATGTAAGTGCCCCCTTCCTGCCTGTTCGGAACATGAGCCAGCCAATGGCCACAGCCTAGCGTATATCGAACATGGATATACGAGTTGGGGGTGAGCGATAGACTTACCTCCACGTGGTACACCCTGGCCAACGTATACTCTTACGGCAAAAAGTCTATCACTCGGCATTTGACTTCTGACTTCAAACTATCATGACCCGAATCCATGTCATATTCTACCACTTCAACAGTACTCGTCTTACCTTCTTCTCTACCTTTGTGTCTGTCTCTTTTACATCTTTGAGACACTCTTCTGTNCCCCCCCCCCATCTCGACGTTTTTCACTTTGATGTTCCTCCTCCTCTCTGTGGAGCCTGAAGTCAACTAAAAGGCTAATGATAACTGTCAAAACGCCTGCCATTTGATATAATTAATATGTTCTAAGAAAAAAACTGCCATTTGAAATAATAATGACATACGAGCTGTGTGGGCAGTCTTTCTTTCGCAATTTACTTTCAGAAACCTGTTTCATTTCAGTATATAGTTTAATCCACTTAAACTTTCTTATTTTTTCAGGAGTAGAAAATGTCGCATAATTTAATGACCACTGTCTCGCTAGATTTCGCCCATATTTCAACTCACATCTCCAATGTGTTAGTTGAATAAATTTATCATAACATAACTCTGAAAATCCATTTTCTACACGTTGCGCAGGAATTTTATGAACGAATCCTAATGCCACCACCTTTTACTTATTTCAATAATGATTGTGATTTGAATTGTCTCAGTAATTGCTATCCCTTGTGTGATGTGGTTTCGGACTATCACCATCATACTAAATGTGGATTATTAAAAATACTATGTCTAAATGATTTAGTCTTTTTACACCAAATGGCAGGCTTTATGGTAGCTATCATTAGTCTTTTAGTTAACTTCGGGCTTCGCAGAGGGGAGGAACTTTCAAAGTCGCAAAAAGTCGAGAGGGGAAACAGAAGAGTGACGCACAGATGTAAGGGAGACAGATAAAAGGTGAGGTGAGTACTGTGAAATTGGTGGACTATGACATATAGTCAAGTCATGGTAGTTTAAAGTCAATTGCTGGTTTATAGCTTTTTTGTCATATGAGTTTACGTTGCCCAGACTCCCCCATGAGGAGCTAAGTCTATCACCCCCCCCCTCCACCACTCTCCACTTTCTTAACCATTTATTCGTTGTAAATATGTTACAGATTTTGAAATTTTGATTTCATAACTATGGCGTCCTCAGCTCTACTGGGCCTGAAGGAGGGGTCTATTGGAAGGTGCGACGAACTACTCTTCGCGTGGGGGAGCGGGGGGGGGGGAGGAATGCGGCCATGAGATCAGAAGCTTCGCAGCCAGTCAATCGCGCGGTGGCGTAGCGTGGCGTTAATTGTATTTTAATGACTAAAGTTTGGGACGATTAGTGCGAAAAATAATCTTCCCTGTGGGCGCTCTGTGTTATCGTTACTTTGAGCTTAGTTTAACTAGTTTAGTGAGCATTCTTATTCACGCTGAGTTAGTCAGGGCTTATTTGTGTTAGATTCCAATTCAAAACCTCTCTTAAAATTCCTTTATCGCTCATACCTTAATTAAAACGAAAGATAGCATTTGGCTCAAAGATTTGAACCTACTCTACGATTCAATCTCTGACACCCCGTTCGAAATAGCCAACCAAGTTTGGTTTATCTATGCTGATTCTAAAAATTACAAATTTTTAAAAAAGACCTCTTTTAAGAATATGAATTAATCTATTTTACACTTTCTGCTTTCACCACAGAAAGATTTTCTCCTAAAACTAGTATGCATTTCCCGAATCTATCAACGACCTCAGTGTTCTAGCAACACTTTATACGAAGACGTGATCTATCAAAGTGATTCTGTGGTGTATCTAAGAGAACTTAGCTTAATTAAATGAATGCTTCGTACAAATGGCTCAGAATCTCAGAAAGAATAATCTTTCGCAAGATTGTATATTAACATATTGGATGAGGTCTTGTTATTCTGAGAGAAAACTGCAGAAGTTAGATAGATAGACCGATCCAAGAGTTAATTACTCTCAGAATCCGTTTGTCTGGACAACAAGATATGGAAATTTAGCAGTTAAATAATTTCATGAATTTCTTGTGCAATCGATATATAATCCTTTTTCCATCGATAGTTTTGCCATTTTTGCATTAAACCAAGAAAGCAATTTGCCGCTATTATTTAATTTTTATTTAATTCTAGGATTAAAAGACCTATAAGCGGTCTGCTCATTAAATAACCTATTCAGCGGGTTTAGTGACATCCATAGTCTGCTGAAGAAAGTCCGAATAAGATACGCAACCACGTCTTCGAGTATCATAAGTTGTTCGAATATGGTAGATATCATCGGCGGAGAGGTCGAATCCATGTTTTCGTAGGAATTTCCCCAAATCTTCCTCTGTGAAGAATTCCGGATGCTTGGGGTCGGCTATTGCTCTAAAACCAGCCAACATGGTCTTGTGTTCCTTGAGACACTAAAATTGGAAGATAATCTCCAGTTATTTGCTACGTTTTTTGAGTATATTTGGGGTTTTTAACAAAAAATATTTTTATAACAACCAGTTGAATGTTATCAGAGGTAATTAAGCCTTAAAAATCGACTTACAATCTGACGAATGCTATCCATAACCTCACGAATTCCAATTTCAGACCCATCTTTCTAGGTACAAGAAATAGAAAGATGTATTATATTTTTTTGTTTACGGGATAACTTTTTTAATAATAATCAAGCACTTTGTTTCTTCCAATAATCATTAAAAGAGAAATGATTCAAGAAGCCACTTTCGAGCGCTTGGTTTACAGATATCGATTTTGAAATTGAGTGGTCTTCAAGGACAACCGAGATTAAAATCCACTAATTAACCAGAAGGATGATAATTGGGATGGAGCGAACAAAGGGACCAAGTACGTTAGCGCTATTATTTTATTTCATTAATTTTGAAGGCAGGTTTGTGGGACACGTTGTCGCTGTGTGCGTCATCGTATGCCTGCATGTCTGCTCGCCAGGATTGGGAGGTGCGGCCGTACAACTCTGTGTGCAGCGACCGTACAAACAGTGACCAATCATTAACCTCTGTTTAGCCTAATCCCCCATCCTGATCATGAGTAGCTCCATGGGTGTACGCTTGATCCACAAGATACTGAATAGACGTGCTCCGTGCTACGCGTCTGTTTCCTTTCATAGCTGGGCTATAGCTTAGCTGGTTTCGGTCTGTTTCCTTTATAGCTGGGCTATAGCTTAGCTGGTTCGTAATATGCTCACTGAATAGACGTGCTCCGTGCTACACGTCTGATACCCGTACTGAAAAAACGTGCTCCGTGCTACACGTCTGAACCTTTCCTACTGAATAAATGTTCCGTGCTACACGTCTGTATCCTCTGTAGCTGGACTATAGCTTAGCTTGTTCTGGGAGTCTAGCTAGATGTTGGAGAATTCTCCGTGCTACTCGTCTGTTTCCTTTATAGCTGGGCTATGGTTTAGCTGGTTCTGGGAGTCTAGCTAGATGTAGGAGAATCTCCCTGGTTCTGGGAGTCTAGCTAGACGTTGGAGAATCTGCCGTTCTGGGAGTCTAGCTAGATGTAGGAGAATCTGCCACAGATATAAACGCGCTCCGTGCTACACGTCTGTTTTCTTTATAGCTGAGCTATAGCTTAGCTGTTCTCTAGCTAGAGGTTGGAGAATCTGCCATAGAGATTTCTGATTCCTAGCTAGATGTTGGAGAATCTGCCATAGAAATTTCTGAGCCGGTAGCTAGATGTTTGAGAATCTGCCATGGAGATTTCTGAGTCGGTCTAGATGTAGGAGAATCTGCCAAAGAGATTTCTGAGTCAGGAGAATCTGCCATAGAGATTTCTAAGTCAGTCAGGCTTTACTTAGGGCTGAGTCGGTCAGGCTTTACTAAGGTAGCAATCCGCTACAGGTTTTACAAAGCACATTTGAAATAAGCGTTATTTATGTCCTGAAAGCGAATGAAAGTTCTTATGACAATTTTGCTCGATGATCTGCTGTGAGAGAGCGAACTTTCAACTAAATTTGAATTCGAAATACTGCCACTACGAAATAAGTGAAATGCCACTTTAGGCATTTATTTACAAAATAATTTCGTAAATAAACCCCGGAAATTATTTCAAATTGAAGTTACTTTGAGTGTCTTAATCAACGTAGAAGTAGTCTTACCTTATTTCTCACTTGATGATGAACAGTGTCAAATTTTTGGCAAACTTTTGGCGGAACATGCCCATCTGAAAAACGTTTCAGGAAATTCACATAATTGACACTAAATAAAAACAAAGTATTGCATAATGACTTCGATAGTTGGAAAGGAAAGAAAGTTATACAAACTTACAATCCTTCATTTTTTATATCTAAACCACGAGCTAGCTCCATCAATTCTTCCTCACTCAAAGGTGTATCGAACGCAACGCATACATTCTGAATTTGAAAACTGCGATAAATAAAGGGCATCCAGTAAAACAAAAACCACCTCCTGCAATTAAGCTTACTCTAAATTTTTTACAAGACATGTTGCCACATCCAAGAGGATCTTGATACAAGAACCCATTTCTAAGATTAGTCCAGATGGAAATGATAAATGGACGGATTTTGTTGCACAGCTCATTGACACGGTGTTCTGAGGGTCTTTCATCCTCCCTTATACGGTATTTGATCTCAGAGGCAGCTTTAGAAAGTGCAAGAATTTGTTCGGTGTTCTGCTTCTTGAAATCCTTTTGACATTGGTAAAACTCCTTCATTTTTGGTAAATTCGGATCGTGTATTCCTGAAGGGCAAAAAAGTTAATGGCCACTGAATAAGGACTAGTTGAAATTGAAAGTATTAACTGGTAAAAAAAATTGATAACCATTAAAATGAAACATAATTTCAAAGCGTCACTCACCATCCATCCCTACGGGGGGGGGGGAGAACGTAAAATATCAATATTCGATAGTAAGGTATGCTTGAAATTAAATAACCATAGACAATTCGAAAATTTGTAGATCATTTCGAAATACTCACTTTTATGAATCAGTCCACGGAGTGTGCGATAGACTTACCTCCACGTGGTGCACCCTGGGTAACGTATACTCATACGGCATACCGGCCTTTGACTTCTCACTTCAAACTACCACGACCCCCCTGGTTGTCATATTCGACCCCTTTCACAGTACTCACCTTACCTTTTTCTCTATCTTAGTGTCTGTCTGCCTCTTTTACATCTGTGAATCGCACTTCTGTTCCCCACCCCTCGACTTTCTGCTACTTAGATGAACCCCTCCTCTGTGAAGCCCGAAGTCAGATAAATGGCTGATGGTATCTATCAAAACTCCTACCATTTAAAATAAATAA